AAGAACCCCAAGTAATCCTTCAGTTAAAAAAAAAAAAAGTATCACATCGGGTTACATTTCTTACTTTAAATTCCTATCTGATCTCTCCTATAACCACAAGTTTGCTTAGCAAATCACTTTAGCTTCTACCAATACTATTTTAAAAATGACTGCCTGATGAATTACAGATCTGTACCTCTGAAACAAATAATACATTATATGTTAACTAAAATAAAAAATAGGGCACCTGGGTGGCTCAGTTGTTAAGTGTCTGTCTCTGGCTCAGGTCGAGCCCCACAGTGTCGGGCTCCCTGCTCAGTGGGAAGCCTGCTTCTCCTTCTCCCACTCCCCCTGCTTGTGTTCCCTCTCTCTGTCTCACTCTGTCAAATAAATTAATAAAATCTTTAAAAAAATAAAAATAAATAAAAATAAAAGACTGCAAGGTAATACCTTTAAATACAGAAAGACAGTGGTATTAATAATTATAATCAAGCACCACCATATTTCCTCAACTCTACAATACCACTGATTTTTTTTTTAAAAGATTTTATTTGAGAGAGAGTGAGAGAGAGAGCACAAGAGCGGGGAGGGTCAGAGGGAGAAGAAGACTCCCTGCTAAGCAGGGAGCCCAATGCGGGACTCAACCCTGGGACTCTGGGATCACGACCTGAGCCGAAGGCAGTCGCTTAACCAACTGAGCCACCCAGGCACCCTACAATACTACTAAAATTTTAAGACTGTAATTTATTAACAAATTTAAGTAGAAAATGAGAAACAAATCTTTATTAATAAAACAAAGTTTAACTAAAGGACAAAAACATAAGCTTATCCATATAATCATATATGACTTTTAAATCATCCTTTACATTTCTGGACATCTTTATTCTTTATACTAGCCATATGGCACACTCTCCCAAGCTCTTTCTATATATGTCTGGATTATACTCAGTTCAAATGTCACCCCCTCAGAGAAGCCCTCTCTACTTACTATACTTAAATTTGCTCCCCCAAGTTCCTCCTCCTTCCAAACCCTACCATTCTGTCCATTTCCTTCATAGCATTTAGCAAAATCTGTAATTATCTTATTTAAGTATTACTGTCTGTCTTTCCCACCAGAACCTGTACTTCACAGGGACAGGTTTTGTATCTCAAGTACGAGGCACATAACCGGCACTCAAACATCTATTGATTTAGTTGGGCTCATGAACTCAATGACTTAGCACCTTTAACAATGACAGTTTTATTTTCGGTCATAATAAAACCTGAGATTTCTGCCTGCATTTTCCATGTGATTAAGCTTAATAATTTTATTTTCCCAAATTAAATATAGTTGGAGGTTAACAGCTTCTTTAAAAAGCACCTGATTTCAGAAATGTTAAAAGGTGAAAAAAATTACCTTAAAAGTGAGGAAAAAATAAATTATTAGTAAGCCTATCAAGTATAAACACTGTATCAGCTGTTTTCTATATCTTATCTGATTTAATAAGGCAATAGAAATCTAGTGGTTTAGAGCAGCAGTTCTCAACTTTTGTCTCAGAACCCCCTTTCACTCTTACATTTAAAAAGTCTATTAATTGGGGCGCCTGGGTGGCTCAGTCATTAAGCGTCTGCCTTCGGCTCAGGTCATGATCTCAGGGTCCTGGGATCGAGCCCCACATCGGGCTCCCTGCTCCGCGGGAAGCCTGCTTCTCCCTCTCCCACTCCCCCTGCTTGTGTTCCCTCTCTTGCTGTGTCTCTCTCTGTCAATTAAATAAATAATAAAATCTTTAAAAAAAGGTCTATTAATTCATTTAAAAAATAACAACATGTTAACATAAATAACATTTTTTTACAAAAATGTTTTAAATCAAAATTTTCTTTTTCCATAACAAAAACAAATTTGGTGAGAAAAGTAGTGCATACTGTTTTACATATTTTGTAAATCTCGTAATTCTGCATTTAATTGGTTGCTAAGAACCTTCACTCTATATTTATCAGAGAATGACAATGAAGGCAGCAAATACTGTTTTGACCTCCACAAACCCACTTAAAGGATCCCCAGGACACACGTTGAGCATGGGCTCTGGAACCAGATTGTCTAAGTTTAAGGTCACTTACTACAGCTATGTTTAAGCCCTCTTACCCCCTTCCTAGCTACACTTTTGTGTCTCATTTCTCTCATTTCAAAAGGATAACAGCAGCACAGTAGTAATTTCATACAATTATTGTGTACTTAGGACAGTTCTTATCACAAAGTAACCACTATAAATGTTTGTTACAAATATTATATACTTAATTTTCCTGATCCTATATACTATAATATAGCCTCTGTTATTCCCAAATAATAGACAAGAAAATTAAAGGGTAAAGAGGTCGAATGACCCACACAAGGTAAAACGGTTTAACTGGTAGAACTTAGATTTAATTTAATGCCTATTCTAAAGTGAACAGTTGAAAAATGTACCTTGGCAACTTTCTTATAGCTCATACTACTCCCCACATAGCTTCCTATGTCCTGGCCATACTCTCCTTTCCATTTTTCCATAGCCTTGTGCACCCCTTCACTCCAGGGATTCTGTATAGACTGTTCCAGCCTAGAATGCTGTCCTACTACTGTTATTTAAATAGCTGGCGGCTTCCAGTCCTGTTAATCTCAGCAGGCCAGTCTTGACCACTTTATCTAAACAGCATCCCCTTCTCCCTTTTCTAGTATTTTCCATTCCAACAAATATGTTCATTTCCTTCCTAGTGCTTTGAATTTTGTACCTTGTTTCTTAGATCTTATTACTTATTGTCTATCTTCCCCATCAGACTGTGAGTTACATGAAAACAAAATCCATTTCTGTTTTGCTCACATTTGAATGTTCGCTATGTACTCAAAGCTAACAAGCATACTATGGTATCCAGACTTATGGCAGGTACTTATATGTATTTGTTGAATCGATGAACCACACTGCTTATGTGACCTTGGACAAATCATTTAAACCCTCTGGGCTTCAGTTTTCTACAAGGGTAAGTTACTTACTACATCTAAAATCCTAAAAATAGGGGTGCCTGGGTGGCTCAGTCATTAAGCGTCTGCCTTCGGCTCAGGTCGTGATCCCAGGGTCCTGGGATCGAGCCCCGCATTGGGCTCCCTGCTCCACAGGAAGCCTGCTTCTCCCTCTCCCACTCCCCCTGCTTGTGTTCCCTCTCTCTCTGTCAAATAAATAAAATCTTTAAAAAATAAATAAGTAAAGAAAATCCTAAAAATATATTTTAGTACCTTTATTTGAAAATAGAATAGTACGGTTACAGAGAAATTTGTAAATATGGATTTCTGAACTATTCCCAGTATCTTAGTATCTAGAGGTAGCTGGGAACATAGTTATAAATGTACAGCCAGTTTTCTTTTTACTTACCCATACAATATATAATTCTGAAGGTTTTTTCTACTACATATTATATTCATCCCATTACTTGGGATATAAAAACTATATTTAAAAGCAAACATCAAGTAGCGCCTGGCTGACTCAGTCAGTAAAGCATGCAACTAGATCTCGGGGTCACGAATTCGAGCCCCATGTTGGGCCTACAGATTACTTAAAAAAAAAAAAAATTAGGGGCGCCTGGGTGGCTCAGTCATTAAGCGTCTGCCTTCGGCTCAGGTCATGGTCCCAGGATCCTGGGATCGAGGCCCGCATTGGGCTCTGCTCAGCGGGAAGCCTGCTTCTCCCTCTCCCACTCCCCCTGCTTGTGTTCCCTCTCTCACTGTCTCTTTCTCTGTCAAATAAATAAATAAAATCAAAAAAAAAAAAAAAAAATTAAAATCTTAAAAGCAAAATTCAAGCCAATATTCCAGCTTGCAGCTCAATTCAGGCCATACTGCCTCGCTTTCAGAGTATTTAACAAAGTAAAAAAGATATCACAGAAAATAATTATCTTTTTGGTAACCATGGTAATGGCAACTTTTATTAGCAAGCCCTGAATACAACATAATGAACAAAATAATAAACTGCTGGAACAAGATCTGATGGAAGTCAATAATTACTTGCCAGGAAGCAAACTCACAGCACTCATCCAAGTACAATAAGCTTTCCATTGCCTACATTGGTAGAAACTGTGTCTTAGCTGACAGTAAGCATGTATTTTTTTTGGAAACTGTAGACCAACATTATTGGATAAACAAAGCTATACAATTATCAGGGAATCATATGAAATAGTAAAAAATGGTTTTACTACTGCAAATTTTCAAACTAAGCCAAAAACTATGAAAATATTTCAAGGTATAATTCTGAAATTTAAGCACTCAAGACGTGTGGTTATTATAAATACCAGCTTCTCTAACAAATAACCTAGGGCTGCACCATTCAATATGACAGCCACTAGCTACATGTGACTATTTTAAATTAATTAAAATAAAATAAAATTTAGGGCGCCTGGGTGGCTCAGTTGGTTAGCGACTGCCTTCAGCTCAGGTCATGATCCCAGGGTCCTGGGATCGAGTCCCGCATCGGGCTCCCTGCTTGGCGGGAGGCCTGCTTCTCCCTCTCCCACTCCCCCTGCTTGTGTTCCCTCTCTCGCTGTGTCTCTCTGTCAAATAAATAAATAAATAAATAAAAAATCTTTATAAAATAAAATAAAATTTAAAGATTCAGTTCCTCAGTTGCACTAGCTACATTTCAAGTGCTCAGTAGTTACATGTGGCTATTATCTCCTATACTGGAGAGCATGGACACAGAACATGAACATCATCAGAGAAATTCTACTGGACAGGACTAATCTCAGTGTAGCCACATAATATAATTATGCTGAGTATATTCAATTATTCAATAACTGTAAAGATCAGGCAACAAGGTTAAAAGGCACAACAATTCAAAAGGAAATACTTTCAAAAGTAAAACTCCAAGGCAATAATTAAGATGTGATTATTTCAAGTCTCTTAGGTAAAATTGCCAAATAAATAGAAACTACCCACCAAAGATAACCAAAAATTCTAACATGACTAATTGTATGGAAAACTCATTCTTTATCCTTTAAAAAGTTAAGTTCCATAATTTTACCTCTGTTCTAAGATCAGTTTTCTAAAGGAGGAGGTGGCACAGGAATGCGGCAGAATTCAAGTGTGGAATTCATTTGTTGAGACTTAAATATTCTCCAGCTCTATAAAAAATAAAAATTAAAAACTATGAAATACTGAGATAATATTCTTAAAATGTAATGAAGAGAACTTTAATAACACATTTATAACACAATTTATCTATTTTTTGAAATAATTAAGGATTAAAAAACTTTCTATAATAACCAGCATACACTTGTGTACCATCATCAAACCTAATTTAAAAAATACCAGATTTGGTGAATAGGAGTCCCACTTTTAGTTTCAAATTTCCCATTAATCATCTGTAAGACCTTGAATAGGTACTTAAATATTCTGGAGCTTCACTTGAATTATCTATAAAATGAAGTCCTTTTCAATCAAAAATTCTATGAATCCAACTTTTGGAACATGTTACAGTGATATCACTCTCATACACGCATGTGCAAACAATCATTAAAATTTCAATATGCTGTGTAATATCAGACTTAAATAAGAAGTATCAATGGCTATAAAATCATTTTGGTGAGATTCAGAGAACTGAAAATTTTATCATTTTTAAAAAGCACACAGAAAATGCTATTATTTGAAATTTGGGTATAAAACATATTAAAAGCTTTTTTGATCAGAGAGAATCCTTTTCAGATTGCTAAAGTATACTTTCCTCATAAAGTAAAAACTATTTTCAAGTAGTTGCTGACCACATTATGCTCTACCATTTTGATTCAAAACTGTATCACAACTTTAAAATCTAAATCCCCCCAAAAGTAACATTTTTAAATATGTTCATTAACAAAATGTGATTTAAAAAAATACAAATAATACAATAAAATTCTCTTGGAGTTAAGTTACATTATCATTTGCAAAATCTCTGATGTTTTTCAAACTAAAGATATGTTAGGGCCTCCTAATACAACAATAGCAGCTGACTTTTTAGCCCTTATCTACTATCACATGAGATTTTCACTTCCTGAGTTATGCAGTGGGTTAAAAAACTTGAAAAGGACTAACATAATATCTCTGGAAAGATACACCAGGAGCTGATCATACTTTGGGAAGGGACATTTGATGTAAAAGAAGCTCACTCTTTTTTTAATATTTTATTTTTAAGTAATCTCTACACCCAACATGGGGCTCGAACTCATCTCCAAGGATCAAGAGTTGCATGCTCTACCAACTGAGCCAGCTAGGCACCCCAAGGAAACTCTCGTTTTGTACCTTGGGAATTCTGAGCCACCAAGACAATTGCCAGATTTTGAAGCAGTGCAAGCAGGCAGTCTTGAAAGCTAGAGGGTCTCCAAAAATCTTTCAGGATTAATGAAACAGATATTCACTAGGTTCTCAATTTAAGAAAGAGGGGGGGGGAAAAAAAAAAAGCCAACAGGGCAAAGGATAGGAAATGGAGATTTATTAAACTTTACCACAGCTCAACTCTTGATAAACTGGAAGAAATAAGCCCCTCAGTCATTTGAGCAACAGAAAAAACATGGGAACCCTGTCAGGAAGGTAACACTGGAGCCTCTATGGTTCTTTCATACGTAAGGTCTGGCACAAAATAAAAAATTATTAAATATGCTAAGTGACAAATATATGACCAATAATTAAGAGAAAACTAGACAGAGTCAGATCCACAGATGATCCAATAATAGAGTTCACACACAAGGACAACAATTTTAAATAATTCTGAATAACATACTAAAGAAAACAAAGGGGAAAATGGACCAAATGGATGAGATGGAGAATTTCACCAATGAATTAGGATCTATAAAAATAATTAAATGTACATTCTAGAACTGAAAAATACAATATATGAAATTAAGAACTCAATATATTGGGCAACGACGTGGATGGAACTGGAGGGTATTATGTTGAGTGAAATAAGTCAAACAGAGAAAGACATGTATCATATGATCTCATTGATATGAGGAAT